CAATGTGCAAAGAGAGAGAGGGGGGGAGGGATTTGGAGAGGGATATATGGGGGGGAGGAGAATCCGGGATCGTGGGTTCGAATCCACAAGGGAGAGCAAAATTATAATTTCCATTATTATCATTAATATCAATCATCATCACCATTGCTATCATCAGTTATTATTATTATCAGTATTGTTATTATTATCACTATTGATACTATCATTATCACTGGAATAAAAAAAAAAAAAGTACTGTCGTCTGCTATAGGGGGGAGAGGAGGAAGAATCCGGGATCGTGGGTTCGAATCCTCAACGGGGAACAATTTTTTTTTCTATTTTTATTATTATTAATATCAGTTGTCATCATCATCACCATCGCTATCATCACTATTATTATCATTATCATTGTTATTATTATCACTATTGATACTATCATTATCACTGGAATAAAAAAAAAAAAAAATACTGTCGTCTGCTATAGGGGGGAGAGGAGGAAGAATCCGGGATCGTGGGTTCGAATCCTCAACGGGGAACATTTTTTTTCTATCTTTATTATTATTAATATCAGTTGTCATCATCATCACCATCGCTATCATCACTATTATTATTATTATTGTTATTATTATCACTATTGATAGTATCATTATTATAATTATCATTATCATATGACTATCATTATCACTATTATACTATCATTATCACTATCATAATTTTTATAATAATAATAATAATAAAATAATCGATATCATTATTATCATTATCAATATCATTACCATTATCATTGATAGTATTGTTACCATCATTATCATTATTTTTTTTATGAGTTTCCAGTTGTACAGTTTTTTTCCCGTTGTATTTAACCTGTTTGTTGCTAATTGGTTATTATATATGTTATATGTTTATATAATTGTTTCTAATAAATGGCGTGATGAAACATTCAAGGTTCCGTCTGGAACTTCACTCGCAATATAGAGCAATTTAATAATAATAATAATAATAATACTCGTCAATTTCGTCTGCAATATCAGTCTGAGTAAAATGCCGTTTGGCAACTCACCTGAGCAGTTGCCGGTTAGTAGCACGTGGCTCTCCCGTTTCCTCAGCTGTGAAGATTCGGCAGAATTGTCATTCGGATGTTCTTCCTCTCGGCACAGTAGATGAAATCTTGGAAAATAAATATGTCACAGCAACAAAGAGAAGACAAAACACTTGATCGAATTCGTAGTTACGTGAACAAAGAAATTAATACAAAAATTTGGAAGCTCATAAAGTGATTGCTGAAAACGATTTGTTCCGTAGAGTCCACAGGGGGACAGCTAAATAAAGGATCAACTGCCGTAGTATAATGTCACGTGATCAGGGTATTAAGAACACACTGCTGAGGACTCAAAGCAAGAATTAATTCCTAAATAAATGAAAATGAAATAAATAAAAATAAAAAGAAGCAAAAATTTATTCCTTTTGCCCAGGAATCCGAAAATGGGAACTTAGAAAGGAGGAATGCGATAATTAGAGATAAAAATCGTCCAAGAAAAATATATTTCATTAATTTCATTTTTTTCTTATTTCTAACCTAGGCCTAACCTAACCTAACCTTTTCTTATTTCTCCTACTTAACCTAACCTAACCTAAACCTTCTTATTTCTCCTACTTAACTAACCTAACCTTTTCTTATTTCTCCTACTTAACCTAACCTTAACCTTTTCTTATTTCTCCTACTTAACCTAAGCTAACCTAACCTTTCCTTATTTCTCCTACTTAACCTAACTAACCTAACCTAACCTTTCTTATTTCTCCTACTTAACCTAACCTAACCTAACCTTTTTCTTATTTCTCCTACTTAACCTAACCTAACCTAACCTTTTCCTTATTTCTCCTACTTAACCTAACCTAACTAACTTTTCTTATTTCTCCTACTTAACCTAAATTTTCTTATTTCTCCTACTTAACCTAACCTAACCTAACCTAAACTTTTCTTATTTTTCCTACTTAACCTAACCTAACCTAGGCAATGGTTGTGTAAGTGGCCGACATCCTGGTCATGCGTCACGTAGGCTGGGTGCACACGAACACCCATGAGCAGCGACAAGATGCCGTGCCTCTTCTTTGCAGTTATTTTATCTAAACTTTTTTTTAGCTTCATCACCATTTTCCAATGTCCATGTATGTATTTTCATTTGCTTTATCCAGATGGCAATAGCTTATTTTTCTTGCACAGACTCCATATAATTTCTCTATGTAGTAAATAACTCAGTGCAAGGGGGGGGGGGGGAATGGAACATTTGGTTATTTGTCTCATACATATCTTAGTTTTTCGTAATTTTCAATTTTACATAATCAACTTGTGCTGCTGGTCATAGCAGCAAGGAATACAGTGCCCAGTATAGCAATGGTGTCCTCCCTGGAGCAGGCACTCTTCCAGTTACTGCTTATGCACATTACTTTCCACATTCATTTATCAATGGGAATAAGGCTAAAGCCCCCTTCTAAGCGCCAAGTGAGTCAAATCACACTACAA